TTGATTGGAAGTCTGAGTTAGGCTCCTGCGCCTGATGGAACAAAAACATTTTTGCAGGTTGTTTTGGGTACATGTTGTCAGTCTCCCATGATGCACTTGCCTCCCCCCTCCCTCCCTCCGTCCCTGAAAGCAACAGCAAATAACCATTTTCGCGCCTAAGCCTGGGTTACCCATGCAGATGCCGTAGCATGGCAAGTATGGACCCCACTCAGCTGAACACAGTTGTTGTGAGCGTCGCAAACACCTCGCACATTGTCCTGTGGCATTTGCAGAGCTGCTGCGTGGAAGAATGTGATGCTATGCAAATTGCCGTGCTGGAAGCCATGGAATGGAGCAATTCACACACACTGATGGCAGCAGCCAGGTTTGTTGACATGGTGGAAACTGCTTCTGGGCCCGGGAAACAAGCACAGACTGGTAGGACCGCATAGTTATGCAGGTATGAGATGAGAAACAGTGGCTTTTGAATGCGTAAGGCCACTTCCATTGAACTTTGCAAATTGCTTTCCACAGCAGAAATACCAAAATGAGAATTGCTCTGACAGTTGAGAAGCAAGTGGCGATAGCCCTGTGGACACTTGCAACACCAGATTGCTGCCGGTCAGTTGGGAATCACTTTGGAGTGGGTAAATCTACTGTGGGGGCTGTTGTGATCCAAGTAGCCAGGGCAATCAATTCACTTCTGCTAAGAAGGGTAGTGACTGGGAAACGTGCAGGATATAGTGGATGGCTTTGCTGCGATGGGTTTCCTAACTGTGGTGGGGCGATAGACGGAACGCACATCCCTATCTTGGCACCAGAGCACCTTGCCAAAGAGTACATAAACCGCAAAGGCTATTTCTCAATGGTGTTGCAAACACTAGTTGCTCACAAGGGCTGTTTCACCACCATCAACGTGGGATGGTCAGGAAAGGTACATGATGCGCACATCTTTAGGAACTCCGGTCTCTTCAGAAAGCGGCAAGAAGGAACTTTCTTCCCTAGACCGGAAAATTACCATTGGTGACATTTAAATGCCAATAGTTATCCTTTGAGACCCAGCCTACCCCATGCTCCCATGGCTCATGAAGCCGTGCACAGGCAGCCTGAACAGCAGTAAGGAGCAGTTCAACTATAGGCCGAGCAAGTGCAGAATGCTGGTAGAATGTGTCTTTGGACGTTTAAAGGGGCGCTGGCGCAGTTTACTCACTAGGTTAGACCTCAGCGAAAGCAATATTCCCATTGTTGTTGCTGCTTGCTGTGTGCTCCATAATATCTGTGAGAGTAAGGAGGGAAAGTTTCTGGCGGGGTAAAGGGTTGAGACAGTTTGCCTGGCTGCCAATTATGAGCAGCCAGACACCAGGGCAATAAGAAGAGCACATTGAGGCGCACTGCGTCTCCAAGATGCTTTGAAAACCAGTTTCATGGATGACCCAACACTGATGTGACAGTTCTGTGTGTTGTTCCTTACCAAGCTGCCCCCTTTTTTGCATGTACTGCCCTGTAAACTAAACCCCCCCCAACCACAGTGTGCACAGTGAATAAAGAGCCTCTTGTCCTCAATCCATGCATTTTTATTATTCTAACAAACACTGAACAGAGACAGCAATGAATACCAAAGATAACCCTGGTCTAAGGGCCTGGTAACATGGGGGGGTGGGGAGGAGGAGCAAGGACACATACCTTATTACAATTGCACTGTCTAACAATCAAAGCTGTGGGAATGAGAGCCTTCTGCTCCATGAACCATCCCCTGGAGTTGAGTTCAAGGGATAATGAAGCTCCCCCCACCCCATTCTAGGATGTCTGGGAGAGGAGGATATGGAACTTGGTGAGGAGGACAGCTGGTTCACCATTGGGTGCAGCGGGTCTCTAAGGTCTAGCTGCCTTTCCTGCACCTCAGCCAGATGCCTCAACATGTCTGTTTGCTCCCCCATAAGCTGCAACATCTCCTCTTGTGTGTTACGCTCTTGTTCCCTGCATGCTTTCCTGCCCTCTTGGTCGGTGTGCATGCTCTCTGAGACAGTGTAAGCCTCCATGCATTCAGCTGGACCCTGTCAGTCTCGGAGGAACGCATCAAATCACAGAGTATGTCTTCCCTTGTCCGCTTTTTTCGCCTTCTAATCTGGGACATCCTTTGTGCTGGTGTGGAGGAAGCACCCACAGACAAGGTTGCAGCCGCAAGGGGCAAAAAACCACACGGGTAGCCTTACAGAACATACAATGTTGAAAACAGAAGGTTAACTTTGCAATGAATGAAACACTTCACAGCAGTAAATACACTCCCTGAGGTATACGGACACATTTTGTCTTCTAAAAGAAGTGCCTACCAGTAAGGTTCAACACACGGCAGAGCACTGGGCAGCAGATTTCAGTTTGCAGGCAGGCATGATAAGCACACAAGAAAGGGTAGGAGGTGTCAGGGCACACCCGGGGACATTTTCTGGGGGGAAACTCTTGGCACATAAACAGTTTTTTTCCGGGGAGCACCCTTTGTGTAGTGGTCTAGCCACCACTGTATTCCAATTGTTTACCTCAGATTAAACATTAAACACAATTGCATGTAACCCTTGTAGTGTGATTACAAGTGTGCACTCGCCAGAGATGCCTTCCCCACCATCACGGTCCTGCAACAATAGGCCCTGGCAGGGGATTGGCTCCAGAGTTAGGAAAAGGTCCTGGCTGTCGGTGAGAATGGATCCTCCGCTTGCCTGCTGCGCATTCTCCTCCTCAACAATGTCCCCCTCATTGTTGCCCGAGGCTGCCTGGGGCCCCTGGGAGGTATCCATAGAAAGTGTTGGGGTACTCGTGGGGTCCCTGCCTAGAATCACATGCCACTGCTCATAGAAGCGGCACGTCTGCTGCTCAGAACCAGAGCGACTGTTTCCCTCCCTTGTCTTCTGGTATGCTTGCCTGAGCTCCTTTATTTTCACACGGCACTGCCATGTGTCCCTGGTGTAGCCTTTGTCCCCCATGCCCTGTGCGATTTTGGCATAGATGTCAGCGTTTCTTCTGCTGGTTTGGAGCTCTGCCTGCATAGACTCTTCTCCCCACACAGCAATCAGATCCACTCGCGTTTGCGGCCCTGGGCAGGCATGGTCAGCTGTGCTGGTGAGCTCTCCATGCTGATCAAACAGGAAATGAAATTCAAAAGTTCCCCGAGGCTTTTCCTGTGTACCTGGCTGAAGTTCAGTGGAATTGAAAGTGCTGTCCAGAGTAATCACATTGGAGCACTCTGGGACACCTCCCGGAGGCCAATCCCGTCAAATTACACAGCATTGTGTCTACACTATCCCTAATTTGATCTGAGAAGGTCGACTCTAGCACCATGCCTCTCGCCGAGGTGGAGTACAGGCGTTGATCTTAGAAGCCCTTTAGGTCGGTGGAAAGGGCTCAGTAGTGTAGATACGCACATTATAAATGCGACCTAACGTGGCATATATCGACTTAATGCCATAGTGTAGAGCAGGCCACAGTCAAAGGAAACATTTAATTTTGGAACTCTTGACCCATTGAAGTCAAAAGGCTTATAGATAGTCTCACAAATAGCTTTCCAAAATGAGTTGAATATGTTTTATCCTAGTTCATATTGTCCAATCACAGTGCAAACAACCTGTGTTAATCCAAACTCATTATTAAACATGGATTCAATTAATATAACTTTTCATAAATATAGAAGGAGTGACAGCATGACTAAGTTTCAGTATCATTTGTGAGGGAAAGTTAATGATTTTGCTGGACTGTGGTTCGCTTAATCCTTTTTTTTTTTTGTATATTAATATCAGCTAACATTCTTCTTTGAGTGATTGCACATGTCCATTCCACTGTAGGTGCATGTGCACCCAGTACACAGTTGTCAGAGATTTTTCCCTCAGAAAAACAGGGAACACAGGAAATTCGGCTGGAAGCAGTGCAGTCCCCCAGACAGAGGGTTAATAAAGTTCTACGTGTTCATCTTAACCTGCATTCAGCTTCACTCCTTGCAAATGAAACAGTATCCAACCCCTCTAAAATGACATGCTAAAACAGGGCACAACTATTTTGAAATTGGATTCTCAACTGGGTGCCCTCAACACTGTTATAATGTTAGTGTATAGGGGATCTTTAAAAAGTAAATACAATCCCGCAGTTGATCCAGTAGGCGGAAGAGGTGATATTCAGAATTTGTTTTAACTGTAGCAATATCTTATGCAATATCTTAACTGTGGGTTTTAATGCTTGTGGGGGAGGGTACGCACCAGAGAGTGCCACATGTGCAGCAGCTGCTTCCCTCTGTTTTCACTCACTCCTCTGAATTCAAAGAGACTTGCCCACTGTGTCTGATCGCCTCCACTTGTGTATCGTTTAACTAAAAGCTGCTGCGAGGCTTGTGTCACACACGTATAAAGTCGCAAACTAGCTGGAGTGTAATACATGCTTCTCATTTAGCTTGCTAGGGGTGTGTGGCAAAGAACTGTCATTTATACTGCAGCACACTGTGGCGTTGAAACAATTGTTATAGTGGGGGGCGCTGAAAGTCATTGAACAAAACTGTAAATCCTGTATATGATGGAAACAACTTCAAGCCCAGGGGTGCTGCAGCACCCCCATCATCTCTAGTTCCAGCACCCCTGATGGCACGCACACTTTTCAGACAAATAAGACAAAGCCTAGTCTGAATAGCTAATCATCTAAATTTAGGCAGATATCTTAAACTGATCATGGGGGAGGTGAAGAGCTAGCTGTAAATTAGAGGAAAGGGGGAAAGTTGCTTTCCATCTCTATCAAGACTGAAGATCTAATACTATATTGTAAGCTGTATAATATACTGCTTTACAATAGGGTGTTTTTTCTTATCCTTTAGCACTTGTCTTTGATCACATTGATTAGGGTAACAATGAGAAGCTGACCTAGTAAGACATTTGAGTGGTAAAGAGTGTTCTATAGGAATAACTTGTGCTGGTGAGGTTGTGCAAACTGGAAAAATCAGGGTGTGCCTAATGTAAAAGTATCTACTTCCTCCAGCAGTTACATCTTCCCATATATGGCTACTGTTATACCTCACATGCCAGACAGACAAGCGACTGTACAGTTTGTTATTGAGACGATAGCCCTGAGGATAGGAGAGAGAATCATGAGTCACCTTCCAAACAGGTTTGAACTGGTGTGAGATAATGGTACAAACATATTTTAGAAACTGGTCTAAACTAGCCCGTAAGAAAGAGTGGTAGGTGTGGATTCAAAAAAAGACCGTCACATGCTAAGGAGAAAGGGAACTGGACTAACAAGAAACTGTGGCTGCAACTGCTTGCGAAACAAATACCATGAGGATTCACTATGGAGGCAGCTTTGCCCAAAGAAGAAGGTCAGAGACAGAACTTTGCAGCCATGCTGTAGGTATTATTTCATATTTATAACTTAAAGCTCTATCCCTCTTAGTGATATGTAGTCTGGGGAGTAGTTATGTTTACTTAACTTTATTTGTTTATTTTTTCTCTCTGTTTTTAATGAAGGCAAACTGACTTTGCAATGAGTGACAAGTATGGTGCAGTAAATCGTTGGTGGAATATTTATGAGAAGGAAAACTGACTTCTGACCATAAGGATGGCAGAAGCAGCGCAGAAGGAATAACCTAGACCCTGGCTGAAAGGCAGAGAGAAAGCCTGAAGATGAGGCAAAAGACTAGATTTGGTGACAAAAACAACTTTGAATTTCTCTTCCCTTTCAATAACTTGCAGTTCATACAGTCAATGATGACTGCTGTATTTGAGAGAGTTCATTTCCTGTATTGATGGCCAAAGGATTTAACTGAGTCTACAAGACCAAGAAATTATGCTAAGTAAAAATGCATTAGCAACTCTTGTGTACAGCAAAGGTTCTGGAAGCAACACATTTTTCAGGGTGAGGGAATAATTCAAGTCACTCATAGAAACTGACTGCAGGACTCTGAGTTGCCTAAAAGATGAGGGAGTGGATTTATGTTTGTCTAGGTATAGCTGAATCACTTGAATCCCACTCATTGCCTCAAGGAAGAAAGGTTATTCTGCAGAATGGCTCATCCCGGTAGGTGGGATAGAACCAATAATTTTATTTGTTCTGAGTCTATAGTGCACTTCATCCCAAAGAATTCCAGAGCCTTCAGATAAACTCTACAAAGGAATCCCAGCCTCTGTAAAAGTGCTGTGGCATGAGTCCAAAGCACTGCCTTTTACAGTAGTGTTATTGCAGTGGGGGGAGGGATAGCTCAGTGGTTTGAGGATTGGCCTGCTAAACCCATCGTTGTGAGTTCACATTTAGGGATCTGGAGCAAAAATCTATCTGGGGATTGGTCCTGCTTTGAGACTAGATGACCTCCTGAGGTCCCTTCCAATCCTGATATTCTATGAAGGAGGAATTTTAGGCCAGGACTAACCCATCAGAGGCACAGTAATTTCTAATATTACACAGAAAGTGTCTAGAGAGCTCTGCTGTCCCTGTGAGATGCCTGGTTTGGAGGTTTCCTCTTCAAACCATTATCAAGAAAACAGCATGAAACTCATCTGCTTTGAAAAAACAAAGGTCTGAGCTGACCCCATGGAGATTTGAACTCATGATTTAAGGGAATCTATTGTAAGTACTTCATACTTGATGCTTAGATCACAAAATTACTGTAAACAGTAAAGAACACAAGGAGGCAATAGAAACATAACAAACTTCTGTAATACTCTGCTCCTCTGGGCTTGGCAATAGGAACTGGGACAAGAACAGGAGCTTACCCCTTTCTAAGCAAAGCTGCCATTTCTCTGTTCCTAACCCAACTCCAATTTAGTCATGCATTCCCTAGTCATACAATCCAGTAGAGTGCCCCAGTTCTCAGTGCTGCACCATGAGCTGTGGAATATGTGCTGCTGGTTTGCAGAGATCACACTTCTCAAAACGGCTAAGTGAGGGGTGAAGTGCTGTGATCTCCCCAGAGACTTCTTAGATAGGGATCAAAATGGGCAGAGCTCGTGTTGTGTGGGAAGTGTCATCTTAATGCTGCATTTCCTGTTTTTCTCATGTAATGCTACATGTCTTGTAAGAGGACCTTAGCGCTGCATTTCTTGGTTTCTCAGATGTTTTGGGAATTATCACATTCTGAAAGGGTACAAGGAGCACAGGCAGAGCTGAGTTACTACAACCTTAACTCCATGTTAAAGATTTTTGCTTATGAAATTGTGTTTGGTGCCCATTGGATGCTGATAGTCACATTTGCTATTGCACACTTCTGAAAAAGTAGAATA